GGCCTTAGCTCTGATGATATCACTTTTTCGTGATTCGATAACGATTTTAATTTAAATCTACACTAATCGAGTTCGTATATCTAATGAAAAAGTCTTCTTTAACGTCATTTTCATGAACATATTACAAGATTGAACCATTCAAATATTTACTTTATATAGAATCAGTTCACACAGAATTAGAAATTATTKTTAGGCGTCATAGGCACTTTAATTTAGATCTACATCAATCGATTTAATTAGAATTGTCTGTCATTATTGTATGCTATTCCAATGATAAATAATAAATGCTGATGAGTTATACCATGGCAATTTATTCTGATCATATAGTTTTGAATAGGAACGTATATATTAACATTTTTTAAACATTTTTTGCAAACACTATTTGGTAAAATCGACTTACAAACCACTTTTTAGGGGGTTATTTTTATAACTGATTTCCTTTTGAAATTTTGCTTTTTTTTCTTGAGATGAAAAAGGTATTTTTTCATATCTTATTGAGATTGCATCAAGGTTGTACGACACTCGGAGGGAATTTTTCCCCTTTTCATCGCTCAAGAATCGCCATTTTGAATGTTATGATGTTTCTAAGGAAGAACTACCGATGCTTTCTGGCGGTATTCATTTCAAAAGTCACAATTATAAGTACGCCATAAGGAATGAGCGTAGGTCGCTGTCCTTTTCACCGACTTTGCTTCACATAAGATTCGTTTAAATTGGATGCCGTAATGACCATATTTAGTCATCGTCACCACCATCTTCATCGTTATCGTCTCCAGGTTCCCCATCATCACCATCGTCCACTGGTGTTCTAGGCCTGGGCGGGGGCCGTCCTGATGAGGTAGAACGCATGCGTCAGTGAAAAATACCGCTGACAATATTTTCACAGAATTCTGCAGTCATCTGGCTGGCAGTGCTAACGGCGAGGTGATGATGGGTACCACGCCCAAAGAAAGAATAAATCATAATGCCAACGCCTACCCAGGCTGTACTATGAGTTATGGACCGATTTTCCTTTTCTTTGTAACATCTCCAAATTGATTTCCAATTAAAACCGGGAAATTATGGGATGTCAAGTTAGATTGGMSTCTGCATTACAATCTCAAGCGACCATATTTAAGTGGTTTCCAGTCTACACGGCAACACAAATACGCCGCATCATCTCTATAAAAACATATATCTTCCAGGCTCGGACATTTACATGTCAGCAAGAAACCCAAGTATAATAACATATCAGGGAATCTATATGTAGCAACAGTTAGCAGCCAGCCAGATAAGCAACAAACTAGAAAAATAAACAGGTAGTAGCCCTCCCTAAGCCTACGGTATTTCCTGCCAGCGTCAACGAAACATAATGATGTTAATAATAATAATGATGATGATGATGAAAATAATAGTAATGATGATGATGACAAAAATAATGATGATGCATGATGATAATGATAGCATATCCCATAGTGGCTCTACATCTTCAGTAATAACCAAAAGATGAAGCTTATCACAAGGTCGATTTAGACGACACAACTTTTGCCCACAACCTTCGCATGCAACCTGCATAAGTCTAGGTAAGCTACAATGTATAGCTACAACTGTCGTGGGGATTTTAAACAATAGCCTAATATCCCCACGACACTTGTAGCTATGTTGTAAGATTKATTTACGTATGTCGCACACGATGGCTGCAGGCAAAAGTTGCGTCGTTGAGTGTAGCCTGAGTTTCATCCAGCGCTTACCCGTAAAAATAAAACGGATGTAAGTAGGCTATATGAGCAGTACAACTGATAAATTTTGGCGTTTTTATATGAAGCAAATCGTTACTATTCAAGCAGAAAATAGCGCAATATCTACAGTACAYACAGGGTTCGTGCAAAATTTTCACTACAAAATTCTAGGACTTTTCAAGTACACAAAAATGCGATTTTCAAGGACTATAAGATATTTTTTATTGATGTTTGCGAATGTTTCCAGTGGCGATTTTCAAAAAAATAGACACATTTCAATTCAAACGGCAAAAGCCAATACGTTAATTTCATCAGATTCAAGGAATTTTCCAGGCGTTTTGCGATTTTTTCCATTTTCAAGGGCTTTTCAAGCGCCCTTGAAAACGAGTTTTCAATTCCAGGAGTTTTCAAGGATTTGAAGGAGTAGCGCGAACCCTGACATAACACCGACTACACACATATTATATTATCACACGAATATCATAGTGCTTGGATAAATACATATAGCTCTCCATCCCCTTATCCAGATTCTCCTCACCCAACATGGAGACTCTGTGAA